AACATCGGTATTGTGTCCACTAATTCGGTGCCATTTGTATCGCTAGATATTGAATGAGAAAATAGATGTAAAACAAGTTATGACTTAAATTTAAATCAGTCTAAAGACGGAAACACACAAACTTTTCATTGCATTTAATTTACTCTTCATTTCAATCAACGAAACACTTATTAAATTTGAACACATTTTGTTTATAAAACTAAAAAATTAAATACAATTAAATAAACACAATAAATAATTTTATTGAAGAAAGTGAATTTGCAATATTTGGCGCAATTTTAAACAAAAATATTAAAAAACCAATTTAGATACGAGTATCCCATAGACACAGGCCTTAAGATAAAATCAAGTATTTTATGATAACATTAACAGCATTTCAAATGCTATTTATATGGATAGCAAAACGATTAGTTTATTATCTATGCATTCAAAGTATCCCTGATTATAATCCCTATCTATTATCTCAAATACACTGTACAACTGTAGAATGATTGGTCTCTTATGGCTAAACAACTCATATCTATATTTCAAATCTAATCTCAAAGCCGTTTAGTTTATCATAAGATTTTGAATTCATATTTTAATAGGAAATAAAGATAATAAATGTCATTATTATTGCAATAAATGTCAACATTTAACAAATATTCACACATAATAAGCATGTATTTTATTTGGATCTGTGCTATCAAATAGTGGTTTAAGTGGACTCTTATGTCTTCGTGAGTGTTATTATTCTTCTGGATGTCATCGAGTGATAGGTTTGTATGGATTGTGACAAACCATGCGTTCAATTGTCACAACTGTTGTGTCTTTTCAGTCATTCATTGACTTATGAGTCAATCCTCGAGTCGTTTGTGTCCACACTATTGCCCCCAAAGAAGGCATTCAAATGCTATTACAATGAATGTGACAAATGTTTCACAACTCAAAGCCGATTGAATGAACACAAACGCCGCAGACATGCCGTACAAGACATCACTCTTCGGGAACCGATTGAGAGCTCAACCGATGCCAGAGACCAGTCGACGACAGCCACAGATGACGGCCAACAACAGCCAAATGCCATTCCAGTGGCCAACACTTCAAACACTTCCAGTCCCGACAGCCAATCGCTGGACAATATGTGCGATGAATATGTGTTTCCGTATTTAAACTGATTTTAATTTAAGTCATAACTTATTTTACATTTATTTTTCTAATTCAAAATCTAGCGATACAAATGGCACCGAATTAGTGGACACAATACCGACGGTAAACACCGGCCAAACACTGCCACCGATACGGAGTGATCAGCAATTGGCCACAACTTCACTCGTGGACAGCAATCCGTGCCTTAAGTACTGTTTAAATCACATCTCAATTCAAACTCAAATTAATTTCAACTAATTTCTAACAAACAGTAGTATTAATACAAATACTGGTCACACGTCGGCCACCGCTAACCCCCTCCAGACTAGCGGCCAAACTGTCGTTGATTTGCCGACAACTCATGTGTGCCGTATCGGCGGCTGTGGTCTCGAGTTTTACATTGAATACACACTAATCGCACACCAGAGGGCTGTCCACAAGACAACGGCTCAAGACATTCACTTTGGGTACCAAAAGAGTGGTGTCAGCAGTGATACACCCATAGAGACCACGACTGTCCTACCGGTGCAGACAATCACTGCCACCACTCATCCAAACAACAGGTTTATTATTAGCCATTGATTTAAGATTTTTTATTAATTATGATTTTATTTACATTTAAATATACAGTGATATGGACTCTGATCTCGAAGCGATACCGGCCGGCCCGACCCCTACCGTCCAATCGGTCTACACGTGTAAGAAATGCGACAAAACATTTGATACCAAACCGGACCTCAAGACTCATCGGAGAACCGTTCACTCAAAGACCACGACTGCGACCGCATTGGCTCACAAACCGCACGCCTGTCTATCCCACGGCTGCGGCCAATCGTTCGCTACTATAGCGGAGCTGAAGAGACACCGACTGGCCGTACATTCGGCCAAAGGTCGACAGTATCGGTGCGACGGCTGCGACAAAAAGTATTACACCAGACATATGCTCGATAAGCATCGCCTGAAGCACTCGGTGTCAGCTCAGGTCACTCTACGGCCGACCATTGAATGTGAAGTCAACTCAAACAACAGGTATATTATAGCCATTGGTTTAAGCCATTAATTGATTGTGTGTTTACTCTATATATCCAGTGATTCTGACTCTGATCTCGAAGTTATAGATGTGTTGCCGGCGCCCAAACACACCGCCCATACAGTGCCGGTGCGGCCAATCACTGGCCGTACATCCAAACGCTTACTAATTGAGTAATGTTTATAAAAAATATCTATTATAATAAACAACACATTAATTATGATATATTTTTGCCACAATTAGTATCACAAATACAAGTAAATATTTTGGTTATGAAACCAGTGGTCACACCAATAGTTACTTATGCGATGTCGAGGGTTGCGGCGGTGTATTTGTCTGGAAATATGAACTCGATCTGCATCATGCGATTGCTCACAAAGTGGCTGTCCGTCGGGCGCATCCGTGCGGTCAATGCGAGCAATCGTTTGATAGCGTAGACCAATGGGCGGACCATAAGCTCGACCGGCATCGGGTGCCCGTCCACTCGCACCCGACCTATGCGTGCGATCAGTGCGACCACAAGCCGTTTAAGAGGAGGCGCCGACTGATTGGCCATCAATACGCTGTCCACTCGCAGCCGATGCCCAACCCGTTTACGTGTAGTCAATGCGACCGACAGTTTGTCACCCATAAGAAGCGGATCAGGCATCAGATGTCTGTCCACTCGTTATCGGCAACTATTTCTCCGTATTTTGCGGTTTAAGTCATATGAGAGTCAATGAAAAATATTTATTTTTAATGAAAATTAATTGTTTTATTAATCATTTTTATATCATTAGTAAGGACAAGAATCGGGTGCGTTTTTGGATGCTTTTGCACTGAAAAACATATTTTTAGATACAAGTAATGTTTGATTCATTGAATGATTCAATGCTTTATTAAACACAACTTTAATGTTTTTAATGAAATAATTTGTTTTTTTTTCTGTGCAAAAGCACCTAACAGTGCACCCAATTCGTGTCTATAATCATTAGTTTTACAAGTATTTTAAGATTTAATTTGTGACAATTTTTTTTGTATTTACTTATTAAATGTACTTTACATACATTCAATAACCAATTTAAACAGCATTATTATTAGCGATGTCCGAGTTTTAAATGTGATCTTAATTCCTGTTTCGTAACAAAGCGTTGATTACAGTTATTATGAATACATTTATGAAGTTTTATATTCAGATGTCTTTTCATGTGATCGTTGAGTTGGGATTGTGAACAAAAACCTTTATTACAATCATTAAAATAGCAAACAAATGGTTTTTCTCCCAAATGTAGGTATTCATGTGATACGAGAATTTGTTTAGTTTTAAAACTTTTGCCACAATTTTCTTCATTACATTTGAATTTCTTTTCATTCAAATGAACACAACTTTTGTGTCGAAATAAATTTCGGCGTGATGATAGGATCTTATTGCATTGGTTATAATCACATTTAAATGTTTTAGTTGAACTTTTAAAAACATTACTTAATTTATAATTTTTATTACAATTATTGAAATCAGATTTAATTTGTTTTACTTCTGAATGACTTAATTGATGTGTTTTTAAAGTCCATTTCTTAGTTGTTTTGTACTGACATTTAGGCCAAAAACATTTCAAATAAATCTTATTTTTGTCTTCAATTGAATGCACAATCAGTTTGTGTTGACTTAAAGATGATTTAGTTTTAAACACTTTCTGGCATTCATTGAAATCGCAAGCAAATGTTTTATTTAAATGAACCTTGTTCGTGTGTGCAATTAAATGTGATTTAGTTTTAAAACTTTTATTACAATTATTAAAATCACATTTAAATGGTTTAACTTCTGAATGAGTTGATTGATGTTTAAATATATCAGATTTCCTATTTGTTTTGAATTGACATTTAGGCCAAAAACACTGAAATTTTTTATTATTTTGATTAAAATTTAAATGAACAATACGTTTGTGATTAAATAATTGGTCTTTTCTCAAAAAACTTTTGTGGCATTCATTGAAATCACAAATAAATCTCACATTTAAATGAATATTATTTTTGTGTTGAGTTAAATGTGATTTCTGTTTATAACTTTTATTACAATTATTAAAATCACATTTAAATTGTTTTATATCTGAATGATATAAAAACTGGTGTCGAGTTAAATGTTGTTTAAATAATGTCTTGAATTGACATTTAGGCCAAAAACAGTTAAAGACTTTATTGGATTTCAAATGAAAAGATTGTACATGGTAATCGAGACCTCGTTTTGAAACAAAACTTTTGTGGCATTCATTAAATTTACAAACAGTTCTAAAATTTAAATGCACTCTCTTTTTATGTTCAGTTAAATGTCTAAATTGTTTGTAACTTTTGTGGCAATCATTAAAATCACATTTAAATTGTATTATTTCTGAATGAATTACTTCATGTCTTTTCATATCACTCATTAATTTTGTCTTGTATTGACATTTAGGCCAAAAACAGTGTAAATAATCATCAGATTTAGTAATGATATGACAATTGTTTAGCATTTTATCACTGATTTTACATGAATTGCAATCAATTGTTTGATTGATTGAAAAATAATCATTATTTTCGCATTCAATCGCTTCACACAAAACACTATTATTTGTATTCAAAATACACTGAATTTTGTCTATTATTTCACACAA